GTAATTTTCTTCTTCTTATCTACAAATTCTTGCGACATTTGGCCATAAAAGTCCTTTCAAATTCTCTATCACAGAGCATATAAATATTTTTTAAGTTACTTAGGTGTCTGTGTCTCCTAATGCTTTTAAATCCCTACAATGAAACTTTCCCAGCCTCTTTTACTTAAATAAGTTTAGGGGTGAATATCTTTGGGCAATATCGCAAAACTTCAACATGTATGCCGTTTTCTGCTTATAGACCAGAGCTAAGGGAAGGGATCAACTGAAATCTGAAGTCAAACAAACAAAATAGTTGGTTTGCTATACTGGCTGCCTTAGGTGCTTAAGTTGAAGCCAAATACAATAAAACATACACAACAGCAAAAGTTATTTATGGTGGAACATAAAAGACCAGAAAATGGACAACTACATTTAAATTTAGGAGAATATCTTTAGTAGTCAACTGTCTGCTTCAAAACAACTCAGATCAGATAGTAATGGGGTGGGGAGGAGACAAGCCAATTGGTCATTAACCTCATCATCCACAAATTATTTTCAATTGAACCCACACAGGATAGCATGGCTGAGTCAAGCAGTCCATAATCACCACGGAGAGGAATCAATCTCTTTGATTTCTCCATCATTCAAAGTTGGAAGTTTAAAGTATGTTCCTGGAGAGCTTTTTCTTTTAAGTATGAATATAAATTCTTCAGTATGAATATAAAATACGTTCCTCGTGTTCAAAGGGCAATACCACAGGAAACAGAAAGGGAGTGGGGTTTTGTGGGGTGAGCTTGATGTAATCACTCAGTGACAATGCTGATATCCTTTGTTCCGATTTTTTCCTTAAGCCTATTTTATACAGATGCAGACTAAAAACACACAGGCCTGAGAACGGTGGCTGGTTGAAAGTGAAGTAAATGCACCTTCAGAACTTGCCTTCTCTGGGAGCCATCAGATCAGTGTCAACCCAAGATAGCAGTGAGTGCCTCACTGGGCAGCAACTGGGCCCTGCGCCGGCATCCGGTGGTGGCATGTTGGCACTACCTTGTGTGGGTATCCGGAGAGCTTCCGCGAGCAAGAGAATTTCCAAATCACAGCTTGCCTCAAGCACTCTGGGAAAGCTGATCACCTGAATAAACAGTTCCCAGAGGACCTCCCTGGCAGCCTTGGGGTTAAATCTCAGTGCTATCACCACTATGGCTTGAGTTCCCCCGACCAGACAGCTCTCTGCTCTCTCCTGGTGCAGCAGCCCTCTCCTGCCTCACCCACCCAGTGCCCCCCTCAGCAATGCTCTTCCTCAGTCTGCCTGTTCTGCTCCCCACTCTGTCTCTGGCGAATCCTCTCACCTCTGCACCTCTGGCCTGCACCCCAGTTCTTGTATGCATAAATAAATAAATAGCTCCTAGATATCCAAGGTCAACATTTCAAATGTTCTTCAAAATCAAAACACTAAGGAGAGAGTTATGTATTTGGAAAAACATTTAATCTGTTCGTAAACCATCTTCCTTTAAGAAAAATAACAAGTAAATGTGACTGATGTCACTGGAAGGATGAGAAGTGGGCTGGTCTGAAACTGGTTCAGAACTGAATCATTCTAATAGAAGAAATTAATTTAGCTGCAATCAGAATTCAGCAGTGATTTCTTGCTAAGATGGTTATTTTACTCTTTCTCTTGGATATTGGTAGTCTTGAATGAACACAAATTGAAGTAAGTTGGAGACTTAGTGTCCTGGTTTCAAGGCTAATGCTTTAAATATAAATATAGTAATGCTTGAAGAAAGTTAATTTTCTATTGCTCTCAGGACTGGCAGAGGAAGGGGAAAGACTGGAAACTTGCAGACTAAGGAAAGTCCTTTCAAAGTAATTTTGGAGCGAAGTGTCAAGTACCTACACGCTGATCTCACTCCTTCCACCCAATCCTCCCTCTGCAAGGTCCCCTGAATTTCTCAGATGACTACTTCACGCTGGAGCCTTCTGAAACGTATTTAAGTATTAACCTTTCGGAAAAAAGAGGCAAAGGAAGGACACAGCAGAATGAGCTGGTTGGGAAGTTGCTATGCAAGTGACTGCAGTGCCTTTGCTGGGAAATGCAAGGCTGAGCCGTGAGCGGGTGGTGCACACTGGCAAGGTCAGGGAACCTCACTCATGGGGAAGGCTAGCCTCAGTCTCCAAAAAATCCCAGTTTTGAAGTCATCCTTAGGCCATAATGAATTTGAGAAAACGTTGCTTAGTAAGGTGGTCCTCACTGCACTGAGCACTGCGGGCGTGAGGAAGCGCACTCAGAGGGAAGGTGGAGGAATGCTCCTCTCCTCCAACACCGAAAGTTCCAGTGTGTGTCGGAACTCTTATCAAAAGGGAGCTGACGCCTGCCGCAAAGCAAGAAAGACTTCTGCTTGGAGTTAAAATTTAGAACTGAAGAACTCTCAAGGAAGAGGAGAGGAAACTTGTAAATCTTGTAAGATCTAAGACCCAATCTTTAGCACAAGTTGGTCTTCTCAGTCAACAGGCACTGAAGAAAAGGACAGTGGCACACCCAGGAGCATCCTCACTTTACATGCAAGCATCAGAAGCATAAGAAACCTTGAGGTTGTAATGAAGGCAGGAGAACCTTCTGCCAGAACTGACACCGCAACGCGCGTCCAGCGACCCATCCCGAAGAGAAGCCAGGTGAATTTAACACCCGAAAGGAAACCTTTTCATGAGGTCATATCTTAGTAAATGTGAGGTCATGTCCTTGCAAGCGTGAGGTCATACAGATGGGGGGAGATCTAGGAATCAACCGAATGTGGGGAGCGTTCTGGAGGAAGTCAAGCTTGCTTCCAAGGCACGGACTCACTCTGTGTGTTAAGAACAGGGAAAGCTTTTTGCCAGACTTCACACCTGTCTGTACATCAAAGGACTAGTTAAGGAAAGAAAACCTTCTGTGTGAAGCCAAACCCTTCTTTCCTGACGGAGAGACTACGAGACAAGGGATGAATTAGTTACCATCACACTCATGCAGTAAAAAATCACATCACAGAGAAGGACTGTAGGTGTAAGTGAGAGCGAGGAAGACCCACTGCAGGCAGCATAACCTACGGACTACCAGGACTCTGCAGGAAAATCCTCTGTCAAAGACAGAAATCTTTGTGGATGAGCTTTCTCACATAGAACCCCAAAGAAACAAATACAGGCAAAGCTCCCCCAGAAGTTACAAGTAATTGAGATTAAAGAAACAATATTGGAATATTTTAAAAGTGTGAAATTCTTGGGTAAGAAGTTAAAAACCTGGAGAAATTTCGGGTTCTCCCTGTTGTGCAACAAGTTAAAGCACCATATTCTGAAGCTCTCCAAAGGCACTGCAGCACGAGTTCGATCCCCGGCCAGGGAGGTGACCCACATGGCGCGGCAGACCTCTCCTGACCCGCCCACTGCTCCCCTCAGCAGTGTACTTTGTCAATCTGCCTGTTCTGCTCCCCACTCTGTCTCTGGTGAATCCTCTCACCCACCATACCTCTGGCCTGTACCCCAATTCTGTAAGCATAAATAAATAAATCTTAAAAAAAAAAAAACTGGAGAAATTCCATCACATAAGGGTCATGTCAACAACATGACTATCTTTACTTTGCAATTTTTTGCAAGCTTTCCCCACAAGGGGTTGGCTGGATGGTTGGTTTTTTACAGTACCCACATAGCATGCCCGGGATCCTCTCCCATCAAACAACAGGGGCACATAGATTCTTCTTCATCTTCCTTTTCCCTCTTCCCTAGGTCATTCCACCAGGAACCAACCTTAGAAACCTGCTCTCCCATCTTTAAAAAAAAAAAAAAAAAAGCAAAGCATCTCTTGATCAACAACCACTCAGGACTGACTGAAAGACTTATCTACTCACACTGTCACACGGTCTCACTTCTCCTTTATCTCCCTCTGACTCCCACCTGGCCTCTGCCCTCACCACACACTGAAGCAGCTCTTGTGCAAGTCACCAAACACCCAGCCAGCTCCGAATGGGTCCTCTGTAGTTCTGCTACTGGACCTTCCACCAGCCTTCCACAGTATGTCCACACTCTCTTCCTTGAAATGTCTATATCTCCTGGATTTTGATCAAACATTTTTTTTAAGATTTATTTATTTATGCATGCAGAACTGAAATGTCTATATCTCCCGGATTTTGATCTTTTTTTTTAAAGATTTATTTATTTATGCATGCAGAACTGGGGTACAGCCTAGAGGTGCAGGAGCAATGAGAGGCTTCAGCAGAGACAGAGTGGGGAGCAGAAGAAGCCAACTGATGAAGTACACTGCTGAGGGGAGCAGCGGGCAGGTCAGGAGAGGTCTGCCACACCATGTGGGTCACCTCCGGGGAAGGTGGGGATCGAACTGGTGCTGAAGTGGCTTTAGCTTCTTAGTACTGTGCTTTAACCCGCTGCGCCACCAGGGAGGGCCCTGATCAAACATTCTTAACTGTCTTCCCGCCCCTCGACATTTCCTCCTCTCCATGAGTTCTCAGTCCATGCTCACTAAATCATCTCATCTATTCCCGTGGTCTCTATTCTTGCCATCAGCTGAAGACACACACCTTTTTGCTTCAGCCCAGAGCCGGCCTCAGAATTCCCCATTCCTACAACTCAAATCCCTTCACACTGTTCCCAAGGGCAACATAGTCAAAATTCAACTCTGGTCTTCCCCAAGCCCCAAGACTTCCCCCCAAGTCCTTCCATGTTAGTGTCACTTCCATTTATTCAGTTGCTCAAGTCAGAAAACCAGGGCTTCTCTGTTGGTTGTTAAAATTATAAGTAACTTTTTTGAAGTTTTTCAATTGTTAAATGTTTCCTATAGTAAACACAAGTTATGATTATCAGTGCATTAATGAATGGAAATTAGAAGAAACAAACCTATTTCTTTTGAATAATGGGAACAAAACAAAGAGGTGCTCAAACAACATGGTGCATTCTCTACATTTGTTCTTAATTTTGGTTTTATCTAAAAAGAAGAAAAAAGAACACTTTAATTAAGTGTTATATTAAGTTTATATTACCTGAAGTATTTGGATTTATTGATGTCATCATAGAATTGGCCTCTATCTAGAAAAGAAGAAAGAATAGGACATATAAGTTCATCTACTGTTTGCACAGGGCACGCTCTAAACTCTTAGGGAGAGGGGTGTTTTTTATGAGAAACTAGCTTTGTTGACTGCAGGGGATATATGTCATAGTCACTCAATTCTTCCCCCAATATCTACATGATATGATGCTAATGTGCTGACTCTAACAGCCTCTCAAACTTTGTTCCATTGATTAAAAGCAGCTAAAGCACAGAAAATCTGCTTGACTGCTGCATACATAGCGTGACCTGAAAGATGAATTTTCTGTTTAAGACAAAAACAAACAACGGTTACAATGGGCTCAGTGAGCTTACTTTTTAATTTTTCCTGCTTATACAAGTAACATGAGGGCCCTCCCTGGTGGCACAATGGATTAAGACACAGCACTATTAAGCTACTGTAGCCACTGCAGAATGAGTTTGATCCCCAGCCAGAGAACGACCCATGTGGAGCGGCAGACCTCTCCTGACCCATCCGCTGCTCCCCTCAGCAGTGTACTTCCTCAATCTGCCTGTTCTGCTCCCCACTCTGCCTCTGGTGAATCCTCTCACTGCCCTTGCACCTCTGGCCTGTACCCCAGTTATATATGCATAAATAATCTGTTTTTTTAAAAAAAAAAGTAACATGAGGTAAAAAACATGAAACATGTAAAAAAAATCATGAACGAGAAAATTTTTAAAATTGCCCAATCAGTGGGAACCATTGTTAACATTTGACCTAACTTGTTTTTTTCTAGGCATTTCTAAACATACTTGAGAACACACTGTATGCTCACATTCACTAAGCATTTTCTCAGTGTTCCAAGAGGGCTTCGGACACTAGAACCTGGGCGGCATCTGACACCGTTTCCCCACCTTGCACTTCCCTCGGGCCTCTCCCCAGATGGGCCCCTTTGCATCTGCTCCACCTCATCCCTGGCCACCTTGGTAGCATGCCATGTCCTAGCCTCAGGCTTCCACTCTTGATACTCTGATACCCTTCTTGGGCAATGTCTTCCGGTCTCGTGTTTTCAGCCTCTATGGGTAAACTGAGGAGTCCTGACTCACTCAGCCTTCTTAACTCACCCCTCCATTTCAGAGGTCTCTACCCAAGAGGCACATAAACTTCGAGCAGACCCATCACCATAACCCCAACACCAGCATATACCAGCAAAGACAGTGGAGACGCTCACAGCTCCCTCAAATGCTACACACTTGTTTTCCTATTGCTGCTCTTCCTGAATCTACTGCATGAGGGGATCACCGTCCACTCAGTCGCATTGGCCACACCACTCTCTCATGACCACCCCCATCAATCACCAGGGCACTGACATCTCCCACTGCCCATAAATGCCGACCAATCACAGCCCCTTGTCTAAGGGACCAGACTCCTAGAGTGACCCACCGAAACCAGGCCCTCCTCTCAGTCTCCTACAGTACTGTGTGTCAGCATTTTCTAGGCCTCTCTACACCAACTGTGAACTGCTCTAAGTACTGCTCCTAAGAATAAACTGGGAGCTGTTTTATTCAGTATCTGTAGACTGTTAAAAATCGTCAACACCTGCTCTATCTCAAGCCATCATGGTGTGATAGTGGGAAAAGATTTTTTTAAAGATTTATCTATCTACCTATCTATTTATGCATTTATTTATGCACACAAGAACTGTGGCCAGAGATGCAGGGATGGGGGCGGTGAGAGGATTCATCAGAGACAAGAGTGGGGAGCAGAACAGGCAGATCTACTGAAATACACTGCTGAGGGGAGCAGTGGGTGAGATAGGAGAGGTCTCCTGCACCCTGTGGGTCAGCTCCCTGGCTGGGGAGCCAACTTAGGCCACAGTGGCTGGCAATAGCTTGATAGTACTGAGACTTTATCCCTGTGCCACCAGGGAGGCCTGGGGAAAGACGTTAATTAATAATATTCAAGGCGCAGATAAACTTCATTAGCTGCCAACACAGTGCCCCGTGCACACCTTTATCTTTCTGTCTCAGCAACTAGCAGGTGTTCCTGTTATCAAACAAGAATGCTCAATAACCATGTAAACAACTGCATGGGTATGTAAGTGCTTTGTTATGTAGTGCTTTACTGCTTTTTAACCTGCATCCAATAAATATTTCAATTGCTCAAAAGCAATATTTAAAAGTCAAACCTCAAAATAGTATAAAATTAAAAATCTGTGAAATTTGGAGAAGATACTTTAAGTGTCACTTATGAATAAAAGTTGCCTGCACAGGTGACTGATGAGTGTCCAGGTGATTTGCTGTATCGCTACTTTACTGTGCAGTGATCAGCAGTGAAAAACATTCATTTGATTAAAAAATAAATTGCAAAACCCTAATGTGTGCAATAAAGGTTTGACAATAAAGGTAAAAATGTGTTAAATTTCCTTGAGTGTGCTTAAGCTTGTTACCACATCACTCTTCCTGTTGTTAAATTTTCTCACTTACATTCTAAAATTAAAGCCAAACAGGTAAAGTCTACGGCTTGTCACGCCTGTGGCTCACCTCCCTGGCCTGGGATAGAACTCATGCTGCAGAATGAGACCGGCTCTCCTTCTGAATCCAGGTTAAATACAGCACCTTAGAGGCTGAGCACCTTTACCTGGCCTGTTTTCCAGTCAGCTGAATGACGGGAGATTAACAGGGACCTGCAAGTTCCGGTAACCCCGTAATCAGATTCTTGGTAACTGAGCATCCCCCTAATAATCGAGCCACTCTGAACCTTCCTAGGTTGTTCGTGGGCCATACCTGTGTCAACGGAACACATTTACTATGAAGTGATGCATCTAAACATAATGAAGGATGACGAAGGGATATCACATGGTCCCTGGCTTTGCTGGGCTTTGCAGTCTGACACATCCCTGTGTCAGCTCCTCAGATGGGCCAAAGGGAATTGCCAACTTCTTGGCCTAAGGAAGGCACCAGGGAGGGCTTTCCAGGAATAAACTGGGAGCTGCTCTGCTTGGTGAGTCTAATTTCTTAAACCTAGACAAAATTGGGGCCTCCCTGGTGGTGCAAGGGGTTAAAGCACACCACTACTAAGCAGCCACTGCAGCATGAATTTGATCCCCGGCCCTGGAGTTGAACCACATGGGGCAGCAGACCTCTCCTGTCTCATCTGCTACTCCCCTCAGCAGTGTATGTCAACCAATCCACCTGTTCTGCTCCCCACTCTGTCTCTGGTGAATACTCTCCCCCCACCCCCAATCTGGCCTGTACCTCAGTTCTTGTATGTATAAATCAACCTTTAAAAAAAAAAAGAAACTGTACAAAATCTTGACTGATTAATTTCAGTTAGTAGCTTAACGAGTGCTACATCTCTAAAATGGAGCTAAGAGGCAAAGGGAACAGCAGAACAGGCATGGGGACCCAAGGAAACCTGTCCTGCCGAAGCAGGAGGTTTACTGAAGCTCAGCTCAACTCACGCTAGCAGTGAACTAGTGCAACCTCTCCTAGGGAGAACTTCGAATGCACCTAGCTGCTGTACTTCTAGGAATTTATTCCAGACATACATCCTCAAGCACAGGTCCAGACATAAAAAGATGCTCGTTGCAGCAACATTTGTAGGAATGGAAAATAATGGACACAATCTAAATGACCAACAACAGGGAAAAGGCTGACAAGAATACTATACAAGTATTCTTTAAAAGATAGTAGTGATGTGTATTTTTACGTTCATCCTGTTTTTTTTTTTAAGAATTTATTTATTTATTCATACAGAACTGGGGTACAGGCCAGAGATGCGGAAGGTGAGAGGATTCACCAGGGACAGAGCGGGAAGCAGAACAGGCAGATGGACAAAATACACTGCTAAGGGGAGCAGCGGGCGGGCCAGGAGAGGTCTGCCGCGCCATGTGGTCACCTCCGGGGCAGGCGGGGATCGAACTCATGAGGAAGTGGCTTAAGCTTCTTCGTGCAGTGCTTTAACCCGCTGCGCCACCAGGGAGGGCCTCATCTTTTTTTTTAAGATTTATTTATTTATGCATACAAGAAGTGGGGTAGAGGTGTAGGAGTGAGAGAATTCACTGGAGGCAGAGTAGGATTCACTAGAACAGGCAGACTGAATGAAATACAGCGCTGAGGGGAACAGTGTACAGACAGGAGGGTCACCTCCTGTGGGTCACCTCCAGGGCCTGGGATTGAACTTGTGCTGCAGTGGCTGTGGATAGCTTCATAGTGCTGTGCTCTAGCCCCCTGCACCACCATTGATGCAAATGCTCATCTCTTGCTAAGTAAATAAAGTAGGAATAATACGCCCCCAGTGTGTTTTCAGTAGAAGGCTGTGTATGGAAATGTTCATCGTACATAGAAAATTTTCATATGATACACAAGAAACTGCTGATAATGGTAACCCCTAAGTAGTGGGACTCTCTGCCAGGAAAGGAAGAATTTTATATTCAACTTTATACCCTTCTACACTGTTTAAGCTTTTGACTATGCGAATGTGTTGCTTTTATAATTTAAAAGGAGCCAATACACTAGGAGAAAACCCCTGCGTGGCTTCCTTTGTGATTCCCTCTTCCCCTCACTCCTCTCCTGGCATCTCTGTGACATCTCCTATTTATTGTACTCACCACCAACCTAGTGATGAAATAAGCTTCATGGGCTCTAGCGAGAGAGAGATTTCTAATTCCTCCCCGAGTGGGATTCTTAAAGGCAGAAGTCAGCCCTGGACACATCTGTGAAACTGCTTCCAAGGCAGCGATTTGCTTTATAAACATGCTAAGCTAGTTCTGTGCCCTTTACTAGGCATCCTTTCACTACTGCATGCATTATCCGCGCCAGCCCCGGTTATACAGAGAAAGCCCTACCTTGGAGGGCTTGTACCCAAACAGCATCACAATAGCGACTTTAAAGTCCTCTCTGCTCAGATAGCCTTTGTTGCCTTCATCGCAGGCTTTGAACACCTAAAGAACATTAAATATCTCTAGTTACAACAAGCCATTTGTCCCACTATTTTTGGCTACTAGTTTATATTTAGGCCGACCCACCACGCCCACCCCTCAATTGAAAACTCTGGACCAGTCGAGCATCAGGACTCGAAACTGGTTTTGGTCCTAATTGTAATTCCCAAAAATCTTAAAGATGAGTTAATACTTAGCCCCCCCCCCCCCCCCCCCCCCCCAATACAGACGACTTAACAGCTAGACTGATGCAAAGTCATTCCTTAGACCACTGGAATCAAGTCTACTCAAACCTCGGTCCTAGACTTAGGAAGGGAAGGCAGAAGGTTAGACTGTCAAAGTCCAGAGGAGAGGTGCAGAGTAGAGGTTATTAACAGACCTTGTAGCCCAGGGGAAAAGAGCGGGCACTCGGACCCGGGGCCAGAAGCCTTGCAGCCCCAGGCTCGGTCACTAGCCACGACACTTTGGAAGGACTATCCAGCCCCTCCCTGTGCAGCCGGGCTGAGAGAGACCCAACACGCGAAGGTGAAGCGAGAACCCCGGGCAAGTTTAAGCGCGAGACCAGCCCTACGGACACCTACTTCCACCCACTTCTTGTGTTCGGAGGGGCTGGCTCCCCTAGTCCCAGCCCACGTCTGGGGTCTGGCCTCAGAGGAAAACATCCCGACCGCCAGGATCAAAGCACCAGACTGCTGCGCCCCGGTCCCACGGACCCCGCAGCTTGACTGCTGGTGTCCCAGGAAGTCGAACTTGGGGCGCCCCTCCAACGTCTTCACCTATTGGGCGGCCAGCGAGCCACGGGCGTAGATGCCGCGACGCTATTGGGAAGAGGTTTTGTTTAACAGCGTTGCCCTGGACCCGCCCACGGAGGAGAGGCTTCCAGGCCCGCCCGGCGCTTGGCTCCGCCCCCACGCTCCGGACTCCCCGGGTGCCGCAGGGTATCCTTGTGTCTCGCTTGATTCCTTTCATTTTCTCCCCCTATCTCTTGCAATGAATTATTCTTCATAATTTCAATCTATAAATCTGTGCCAAACGTTACAGGAGACGCAAAAAGGTGTGAACAAATTTGCCAAAAATGGGGCCCTCCCTGGTGGCAC